GACCTCCTGGGTTGAAAGCCCTGTAAGACCCATGAGTACCCGTGCAGTGCTGAGTCTCCGCGAAAAGAAAGACCGCGAACTGAAATTGAGATTCAAGCAGCCAATCAGGGCTGTCTCTACATATTTGACACATCTTTCCACCAATCAAAAGTAGTGAGCAGGCAGTCTCCGTTCCCGCTCTCATGCTATGCAATGCAAATATATTTCTGATGAAATACACTATAACAGTGAGAATCAGCCATTTGTGTGTTTATGTGTGTTGTGTTTCATTTACATAATCAATATAATATCATAATTTCATCAGCTGGATAATTTTATTATAATGATTTAATATCAGAAAATTGACTTACAAAACTTTTATTTCTTTTATTTCAAGGCTACTCAAATATAGTGGTAGCCTAAGTTATTTATCTACCATAAATAATTAAGGTATCATTCAAATCTTTAAACAACAACTTTTACAAAAAAATTGGCTTAGCAGAGGCTGTCTCTTGATATTGTACCTTAACCTTTTTAAAGAAACGGTACATATATGTACCTTTTAATGCTTGGGAACACATATGTACCTTTTTGACCCTCAAAAAGGTACATACATGTACCTTGAGGTCCAATAATAAGCCCTATGGGGTACATTAGTGTAGATTGTACCTTGGGGGACAGAAATGGACTCCTACCCCTATTTCTGACAGTGTAAGCTACTTGACTTCATAAAAAAAAAAAGATCTCTCTTTATTTATTCCATCTCTTTCTTGTACTTATTTGAACAATGTCTAGAAACTTGGTATTACAAGCACTTCCTATATCTGTTTGCGTCTTTAAGAAGAATCGCTAAATGTATCCCCCAATTGCAAAGGATTTTTGGAAAGAAATATCTTGGCTTGTTTTCTCAGCTTACAACAAACTTTTTTGTTTTGAGGTAATTAATGCACTAATTTTAATTTGGGAATCAGGATCAAAGGAGCTGGATGATATCTTAAAACTGTTAACTCTTTTTGGGCTATTTCATCTTCACAAATGTAAAGTTACTGATTGTATGCCCAATTTTAGGATTTTTTGTATTGATTTGAAATTATTTTCTGAATCTCTCTGCTCATCACTTAATAAGAAAGCTGCTAAAACTACTGTATTGATGGAAAAAATATTGACTTTGATGTAAGGGTTACCTCCTGTGTATTCTTTGAAGTTGACATTTTATGTGTAATATTCCATTTAAGTTATTTTTTATTTACATTTATTTATTTAAAAAATATATATGTTTAACTTTTTATTTATTTGTTTTTGTTCTGTTTATATTTCATTTTTATTATTCTTTATGTATTTATTGTTTTGTATTCTGGGTATTTTATTGCTATGACTGTATCCCCTGTGAATGTTATATCTTCAATAAAAAAAAAGAACTAATCAATTCTCTTTCCGGCTCAGACTGCATTGGTTAAAGCGTATGGGGCTGTCCAGAGCCATAGAAAGAGAGAGTTGCGTCAACGGAGTCCAAAACGCTCGATCGTCACGTGATTCACGTAGACCTCAAATAGTTCCAGGAAGTTCATAGCGGGCAATTGAAATACATTGCGTTGGAGAGACAGAACTGTGATTTTTGGTAATTAGTAGACAATAAAATAATTTATTTACATTATTTATAAAATAAAAATAATGTATACATGCATACGTAGTATACATATCAGTGTTGTTTTTAAAAGATAAAATCCGCTAATATTTGAGGATTAATGTGGTCAGCTATCCTTACCTGCATTGTTAACATATTTTAGGCTGAAGTTACCATGGTAAAAGTCCGTGTTTGCTATATAAACGACATCGTGGTCTTCTACCAAGGTAATTTCAGCCTCTCTATATAAATAGAATTATATATGTATGTAGATGTGTTCTTACAACTTGCATATTAGTCAAGTTCAATCACATCTTAATGTTCATTGTCGTTTTACTACTCTCATGGTAAATGTTAAGTTTGTTGTCTTAGAAAATTCATTCCAAATAAATGAAGATATTTTAAGTGAAAACTAATCTTGTTTAATGTTTTTGATTCTTGTGCACCCCTCAATTATGAATATATAACATATTTGTAGTATATTCCAATTTAAAACAACTTAAAACATTTTTACACATTTAATCATATATTTTATGTATGTTGACTTTTGTTATGCACTTATTTACAGCAATCGATTTATAAATTTATTATAAACTATAAAGCATGTTGTCCTTGAACAGTCTCCACCATAGTTTGCTGCGCTGCATGGGAGTGCTCCAGTCATTCACAGAAAGTAGTGTGAATGTAAGGTTTCCCTACTGATATAGAGAGGAGAAAAAAATTATGCATTAAGTTTTGTTCAATTCACATTTATTTGTATAGCACTTTTTAATATACACATTGTTTCAAAGCAGCTTTACAGAAAATTAATGTTTCTACATTACAAATAAGAGTTATGTTAATAGGTGTAACTGTGCCAAAGTAATGTTCATATGGCAGAAATGTTCTAAAATAGGCTATACAAATCATGCAGTTAAGTAACGTCATGTATTCAGAAACAATGAAAATCAACAACTTAAAGCAATGGCTACATGATGTTATCATGTTGATTACAATGCAAGGAAAATGTAGCAGTTTTGTATGTTTATTCAGAGTCCGCTTCATCTGAAGTCCTCTCAAGGGTTGGGTAATCTCTTCACAGGTATTGGTCATCTGAAGTCTTCGTAAGAGGCTGAATATAGTCAGCAGGAGCAATCTATAGATTACACCAACAAAATGTGATGTAATCATAGGGAACTGGCACTTTTTCACAAAAACACAAAGAGCAGGGAAAGACTTGCCAAAACCAGTGAAGAGGCTCATTGTGAGGGTGATGTCTCTTTACAGGGAGTCTTCAGGTGGTTCTCATTCTGAAAGCAAGATAGCGAAGGAAAAACACAGGAGAAATGGTTAAGTGATGCTCCATCACATTGCAGTCCTGTGGCATCTGCTCCTTCCAACACAGTGCTTCTTTAGTAGCTAAGACGTTTAAGTATAAAATACAGTAATAATGTACAGGTTTACTGTGATATATATATATATATAATATAGTGGTATATAATAAATTTTTGGGGAAATTTAGCCTAGCATGATTCTGAAATGAAAACTGCTCGTCTATTTCAAACTTTTCATTCTTACTTTGGTCCATCTGCAACCTTTTCAATATATCCAAGTCTATTAAATAACTCCCCACCACCAAAATCACTTTTAAAAGCCTTAATTACACAACGATGGATGAAACTGCATGAAGAGAATGAATAACATCCCGTAAATCTACTAATTAAGTGAGGAATAATCTAATAATAATCTGTTTTAATGCACATGGCAATTTGATTAGCTGTGCTGATAATATACTATTTTGTTCTATAAATGTCATACCTTTTAAAAGTTCATCACAGCGGTCTCTTCTGCTGCATCTCTACGGCGCTGATAGTATGAGCGCTAACTTCCGGGAACTACTGAGCGGCTCCACGACCCGCCATTGCTGTAAAAAACTGGTCTATTGGAGTGAATGGAGTTGTCGCAACTCTCTCTCTCTATGGCTCTGGGGCTGAACGAGTGACTCGAAAAACCCGAAGACTCGAGAGATGAACTAATCAATTCTCTTTCCGGCTCAGACTGCATTAAGTTTATGGGGCTGTCACGTGACAAATTAAAACACAACAGGCATATGCAATACACACAAATGGTAACTGTTGGGAAAACCTATGACATGGTGATTGTAGCTCCACCCACTGTTGACAGCTGCATCCTATTCTGGCTCCTATTAGGGGCCTCTGACATCCCATTGTGATGCTCCCCCTACGAATAAGCAGTAACCTAAGAGTTTCTTACAGTAACAGTATAGGCCTACAAATCAAATCCACACTAAAACCATTTTCAGATCGTCATCCATACGTAGCTTATTAATGGCCTATAGGTCGGGGGGGGGGGCGACTCTGGGAAACAGTTCTCACCTGGAAGCTTATCCACTTTATTACACCGCTGTATTCAATTTTATTTATATAGCGCCGATTCATAACAAAGTTATCTCATTGCACTTTTCCTATAGAGCATGTCTAGACCGTACTATTTGTAATGTTTACAGAGACCCAACAATTCCCACCATGAGCAAGTACTTTGCATTAATATGTTTTTTATGACCCGGAACCATGTTTGATCAAAGCACGTTTATTTTCATATTTATTTATGTACTTTATTTTTATGTTGACGGTTTTGTTCATTTGTGTAGCTCTTATAACCTTTTGTGATGGTCCGTATGCCCCGTTTTTTTTCATACAAGTAATTGTTAATTTGCACCTTGGAATAATAATAATAAAAAAAAAACACTACGCGCCAATCAGTGTGCAGGTCAGATGCACACTCTCAGTGCGCGAGCGGTCCTACTCGAGAAAATTGCGTCGGACCGTTGGAGTCGTCGTCTTGAAGAGAGAGAAAGCAGCAAGTATTTTTCTGAGGTGAGTGTCATAGCTCCAACGGTCACATAAATATGCTATTAAAGTTGAGTTTCTTGTTAGGGGGAAATTTCCATTGGTATTTTCAAACGTACCGTGCTTTGAGTAATGTTAGCCGACTGTGTAGCCTGACCAACTGTGTTGGCTAGTTTAGTTAACGCGGGGGGGGTTTAAGTTAACGTTAGTGATATTTGTTGTTTAAGAAACACTGAAGTGTAAGTAAAGGTAACGGTGGTCGTTTGTTTCGTGACTATCTCTAAGTATAACGTTATAACGCTCTCTTTAATTTATTTTTTAATCGCCGATAGTGGTGACAGCCAACAGATAGTGATGGTCTAACGAGATGTCCCCTAGTGGCGGGCTTTATAGCTGCACCGTTAACATGGATTCTGTGTCTAGTAATAAATATAAAATATAAATGAGCAACATAAAAAAAATAACACATGTACACCTTAAAACTATCAAATAAAGGTACAGTTCTAAAATTAAGTTTAGACATAATGTTAACCATTTAATGCTCAAATTATGTATTTAATGTAACATGCAAGAGGCATGTTTTACATTACCTAGTGTAAGGTTATGTCAAAGACATCTATGCAAGTGTGACTGGAATGGAAGCAAACAACAATGCTGTAACGTTAGGTTAAAAGTAAGCTCTATTTATTTAGGCTACTTATCATTAGCCTTTTTATTAACGTTGGCCTATATCTTGTAATTAATATTTGTGATTATTATTAATGCATGATATTCTTGAAGGGGTCATCCCACAGGTTCTGAAATTAGTCTTGCTAAAGCTTACCCGTGAAAGACTAGTAACACTGCAACAGTTTAATGACCAGTCCAGCACCAAACAATTCCCCTTTGGACAAAACAATATTACTCACAGGCCTGTTTTGCTGAAATCCATTCCTTAGGGAAAGTATTGGGTTAGGATATGTAAGTTTTCATTTGTATTAAAGTTGTTTCCATGCTATATTGATTATTAAAAATGAATTCATATTTGCAAGTCACATAACCGTTTTACAAATGAATAATAATAATTACAAATGAATTATGGGGGATACCAGTATTTGTTTTGTCAAGGATACACTTTCTAACTAAGCAGGGCCCATTTGGTATTTTATTCCATGGCACTAAAACATTTTATGCGGAAGAGCGCTCTGTATTTTTATATGATGCATTAAGAAAATTCTAAAAAGTGTGTTTTTACATCTACAAGTCAATTTCTTCAACAACATACTGCAAGTATGCATGTACCCAACATGTAGATGGTCAAAAAGTGTATACAACAACATAAACTTGCTGCAAAGGTTCTGCAATGTGACTGACTCTGTTAGCATGAAGGTAAATGTTTCATTAAAACTACAATGTCTTTCCCCACTTTTTTTCACAGGATTCCCTGCTTGAATCACTGAGAAATAAGTTTAAGAAGGAAAGGCAGCCACTTGTGGCCAACAATGAAATCCAGCGAATGAAAGAGCGATGGGCAGGAAGGAAGCGGCCTCTTCAGACAGCTGCAGCTAATCCAAGCACCTTGGTAAAAAAACACACAATCAGAACACACAAACACATGAAAATGAGTGCTGTACCTGCCGGCGACGAGGAGATTGTGAAGCCCCGCCCCTCTAGTCACACAGGGTTTCCTTGTGTCTTACAGTAGATTTACTTCAAAGTTCGTCTTGAGAGAGAGTTGTTGTCATGTAGGTCTAACAGCTGCACAAACAGTGTTTTCAACCACACAGTATCTTTATTTGTTACAAATATTCAGATTATCACAGAAGTACTGAGATAAAAGTATATAGTTTAGATATAAACACTAATGTCTAAGTTATCGATCAAAATAGAGCAAATCAGCATTGCTGACTGGTACAGGCCATAATTTCACTGACAACTAGGACTATACTTGATATTATAAAACGGACGAACTTCTTCTGCTCTCCCGGACAAATAAGGATTTTTCACACTCTGCTGCTCTGTGTTTCACGGAAACCTGGATGAATGATGCCATTCCGGACAGTGCGCTACAACTGCCCGGCTTTCAGCTGTTTAGAGCAGATCGCGACGCAGAATCAATGGGGAAATCGCGCGGCGGCAGCACATGAATTACATCAACGAAAGGTGGTGTACAGATGTTACAGCATTAAAGAAGATGTGCTGTTCCGATCTAGAAGCACTTTTCATTATCTGTAAGCCGTTCTATTTGCCGCGGGAGTTTCACTCGTTCATTCTCGTGAGTGTTAACATTCCTCCGCAAGTGCACGTAAGCTCAGCTTT